ATAAAAAAAATATATATATATATATATATATATAAAGTTTTTATTTTTATGACAAATAAATAAATAAATGTTCTGTTACAGTTTAACACATTATTTTCATTAATTTTACACAATATTGTCAGCTAAAATTAAATGCCATTTTAGTTCACGTAAAACAGACTCAAATTTAAGAATTTGCCATGATGAAATTGACAAAATTTAAAGGACATTTAAAAAATAAGCTTTATATTATTATATTAGACTGTTCTATATCATATTTAGTGCATAAATGATGCAATTTCACAGTGCATAAATGATCAAACACTCTTCACTGGCTGTGAGCTTCACTATCACTATTACACTTTTGCTGTTACAGGGATGGTTCATCTGAAAATGAAATTCGGACATAATTTCTCTCACTAATGTTGTTTGAAACCCATATGTGTTTTGTTTCTTCTGTTACAGTGAATTAAAGTAAATCATTTTTGCTTGCCACTTCAAATGAATTGATGTTTTATTAAATTATATACTGTACAATAGTGTTCAAAAGTTTGGAGTTGATAAGATTTTTTAAAGTTTTTGAAAGAAGTCTCTTCTGCTCACCAAAGCTGCATTCATTTGATCAAAAATAATGTAAGAACTAGGGCTGCACGATAAATCAAAATGGAATCGAGTTTGCGATTCAGATGGAGCAGCATTTACTTCACAGAGCCGTAGTTCACCGAGCGATTTTTTTGCGTAAATTCTGCTCCATCTGAAAGCACGTGATGATGATTTCCTGCTGATTACAGAACCGGCATTACTATCAAAATGCGCATGACAATCGCATTCGATTAATCGTGCAGCCCTAGTAAGAACAGTAATATTGTGAAATATTATTACAAATTGAAATAGTTCTATTTGATAATATTTTAAAATGTAATTTATTCCTGTGATGGCAAAGTTAAATTTTCAACAGCCACTACTCTAGTCTTTAGTGTCACATGATCATGCAGAAATCAGTGTAATATGCTGATTAGCTGCTCAAGAAACATTTCTTATTATTATCAGTGTTGAAAACAGTTGTGTAATATTTTTGTGGAAATAGACAGTAAAAAACAGCATTTATTTCAAATAGAAAACCTTTGTAACTTAAAAAACATCTTCTTGATCCCAAACTTTTTAAATGGTGTATTTTTAAATATTTGAGTACAAGAAGTTCTATAAGCCCAATTTTACGTTAGATCAAGATTGGATTACTTAGCCTACAGAACCCTTTTCTACATTATTTTTCCGTTCAAATGACTAACATTAACTGGACATAAACAGTCGACTCATCTTTCCCGTCTTAAATTCTAATATTAAAATGCATATTGCAATTAAAAAAAAAAAAAAAAAAAAAAAAAAAATTAAATGCAACTTCTGTAGTTCCAGGCTTTAATGTGGCCCAATATAAATTTTCTTTTAAATGACCAAAAATGCAATGAAACCTATGCGGCCATTCACACAGAACATGTTTTTTCAGTAAAAAAAAAAGTCTGGAGATGCATTGTTTTTTTTTTATGCAACTACTTATAATTTAAGTGGAGCATTTTTAGAATGCTGCAAAAGACGTAACAGTCAAACCAGTCTGTCTACTGCATGTTCACACAGAAGAACAATGGAAAAGGACCCTATGAGTTTGCACGCTATCCACAGCAGGAACAGTAAGCAAAAGCAGAAATGAGTGGAATGATTAAGGTCAGACAGGAGAGGGCTTGATCACCCTACCGCCCCCTAGTAGAGACGGAGCTTCATTCATTTTGATTTACCTGCATTAGTCTAGATCCTCATTATTTACACCCCATATCCCGCTTTTCATTCTGACCCCCTTCCTTCTCATCTCTCTTGTTGCCTTCTACTCTCCAGTTTTTCACATTCTCTCTTTTTAACCTCAACATCCCTTCAAGCCAACACACACCACAAATCCAAAGCAGCGTGAACAAAGACCCTTGTTTTCTTGAATACTGACCACATGTGGGGCTGTGCTGAGCGCGGTGCAGGGAAAGATAAGCAGGTGTATGCTCAAAAAAAAAGTGTTCAGACTGTTCTACGGATGTCAGAGAGAGAGCGAGGGCTTTCATCTCAGACACAAAGAAGCCAAAGCCACTTAGAAAAACATCTCTAACACCTCCCCGTTGATAAGCTTAAGTAATAACAGCTCTCACTGTGAACACAGACACTACTGAATGCTAATGATTCCCAGTTAACGCCTGTACTGGTGAATTCTCGACAAGTTTAATCAATTCTGGATAATAGTTTGTTTTTTTCAGCAAAAAATAGGTGATGGCGAACGGAAAATGTATGAAATAAAGTATTATGCTGGCAGAAAATCGAATAAAGAATGATCCAGTGCTCTGATACTCACCAACAAAAGACGTTTCTCCCAGCAAACCTCTACGTCTGAGGATCACCTCGAGAACTTTGTCCTGCTCATCCACCACATAGTTTGGTTTCTCCAGAGAAATCCAAGCCCAGTTCAGACGAAACTGCTGGTTTTTCAGTTTGTTCCCTCCTGAAAACAACAATTAAAATGTATACACTCTTAACGGCATTATGAAATTAAACAGAGCGCTGCAGTAACAATGTATTTTTGTCGGCCAACCCGGAAGGTTGCATTACCCTGCTTCCCTGCAATAGGATTTTTCTACTGGCTTTTGGATTATTGCAGAAAATAAGTTCTGTGAACAACAAAAGTTTATGATTCTAACACATTTTGTTCATTATGATAATTATTACAAATGAACAAAACTTTAATGAATTTTAAAGCTTAAATACAATTGCCAGAAGTAAAAAGCTAAACCATGGTTGCATGACTCGTCATCACCAACTCTTTCAGTCTGTATCTAAATGCAACAAATTGGAAAGTTTGAGTTAGAATAGTTTTCAAGAGCGCATGTATAAACACAATGAGGCTGTAAAAGCGGACTAGCGAGTAGCTTTCCTGTTCGGTATGATGATGTTTAATGGCCCAGACAACCTCTGTAGTCCCATTTAGACACTAGTTATCTTAAAAAAAAGACGTATTACTATTTTATGTCGTTGAATAAAACATGAAAATATCTAGCTTGTGTTAACCACTGACCTCATTTCAGGCATTCAACCAAAAACCCATTCAGTTCGGGACGACGGAACCTGAAGTTAAAAAATGCGAACTCGTTTCCAGTTATAGGATTCATTCCTGCAGCACTCTATCAAATATTTGTTTAAATATTTAAAAATATTCACGGGGTGGAAATGCGTAAAACTTTAGGTCATTACAATTCTGCAGAGTTCTGCATACACGTGTTCTTACTAATACATTATGAAAATGATCCTCATATAATCGACTCAGAAGGGATTAATTAGTGATCATTTACATCATAATGTACATGCCACCAGCTGTTTACTTGAGGGGTTTATGGGAAATAACTTTCTCATAATCCTACATCTTACATGTAAATTTCCCCTTTTGGGAAAACTTACCTTATCAGGTTTTACAGCATAAAAACAGCACAATTAACTAGTTTATGTTACAAGGATCCAGCATTTTTAATCCTTTTTAAGATTTTTATCACTTACAGTATCTCTATACTTATGTACTCGAACAAGAGTGCCTCAGCACCTGTCATTTACCCATGCAAACTAAAAATAAAGGTTTGTTTGTATAGAAAAAGAATGTAGTTCAGTGCAGAACAGACAATGAAATATATATATATATATATATATATATCGTGGGTACGGAAAGTATTCAGACCCCCTTAAATTTTTCACTCTTTGTTATATTGCAGCCATTTGCTTGTTGCATCTTTCCCAAAAAGACTCATGGCTGTATTAGATCAAAAGGGTGCTTCTACTAAATACTGAGCAAAGGGTCTTGTGTACGCTGACTTCGCACTTCACGTGCTTGGTTTATCTCACATTACTTGTATCGCCCAAATGTTACTGAATCACCATCATCATTTAGTTTAAGTATAAAATGATAACATGATACTGAATGATTACGATGGTAACGATTACCCCAACCGAACCAAGCTTCCAGAGACGCTTTCAAAGGCAGTCTACACCTCTAACAGATCAAACAATGAGGGAATATCCAAAAGAGTATGGACTTCATGCATTACGAAGCCTACAATTAAATCTTTGGCAAATGTCTGTGTGAATGTATCACATTTCGTGCACACATACCTATAGACCAACTGCATCTCTAATCTATATTCATGCCATGTATTGGAGTCTGCCCAGATATTGATAACCCACTTCACGTGCACGCAAAACATCAGAGACAAATTCTCAATTTCTCAACAAGATCGACCATGTATATTCATGACTCGTTTCACTTGATTTCCTCGAGCTAACCCCGGGCTCCTAATAACTCACTCTCTAACCTTGCCTGATAGATGTCATGACTGGAAAAAATTTAAATGTTGTCAAAGCCACTGTATTTCTAACTCGATATCAGCCTGTAATGATGTACGGTTGCTAAGTGATAACTGTTTGGCAGGTGATATGCAGCGTAAACAACTTCAGAGAATAAAGGAGAATAAACCATTTCCCATGTTAAAGTGATTATATTTGACATTTCACAAAGATTATCAGCATAAGCCACATGGTTCGTTAAATTATCATGGTGGTCCACATAATTAATAGTACATCAGGAGGACTTATCGACTCTTATTTCTACTCCAAATATAGATGCGGATTGCAGGTAAATTGTAAAAGGAATCTGTATTAATAAAAATATAATTTAAAAATGAATATAGTTACATAAAAATATATATTTTTTAAAGTAAATACAAAATATAAAGAAATCAGAAAGGCTACAGCCACATATGTAAAAACAAAGATACTACTAATATTCACATATTAACAGTGGGCAATATTTGATTTGATTTATGGTTTTATTATAGCACTGCGAGTGAACATAAGCAAGCTAAAAGCATTTCTCTTGTTATTTCTGCAGTCAATGGTGGGTATTAATGCAGCGCATTATCCAAGCAGCAATGACACTTTTTCTTTTATCTTGTCAGGTTGTATCAATTTAAGAAAGAAGTGATAGATAGGGTGTGGTTAAAATGTCACCAAAATCCATTTGCGAGTAAAGAAAAAGCTCTCAGCTCAAGGACTCCACTATTCTGTTCTCAGGGTGTTCATTCAGGTCAATGAGCCGAGGCAAACACAACACCATCAGTTATCACAAAGACAAACAAAATCAAGTGGAATTGTACATTTTCTAAAGAACATCAGTGGTGTTTGTCTGTGAAAAACATATCACAATGCTAAGTGTAATGCTAATTGCCATCGTTTAATAAGAAACAGGTAATCTGCATTATCTGAAAAACCCTGAAAAAAAATTCTATATTTAGCCAAAATGGATGTTAATCCATTAAAATAAAATAAAAAAAAATAAATAAAAAATCACATCCTTGTCTGTAGCATAAAGGAGTTTAATATTTGGGGGTTATGAAAAAGGTTAACCAAGTATGAAAAATAGTAATATTGATTCTTGCCTAAGAAAAGGCCACTGAAAATGAAGTAAACAAAGGATCTAAATTAATGAGAAGAAAAGAGAAAACAAGCTATTTAGTCATAAACGTATAGCATCACACATGTGAATTTAAAATTCAGTTGTATTTGTTCTGTTGTCAAGCTGAACAATAACATGCTCTCATTAAGCTTTGCCTCTGAAAAACAACAACAACAAAAAAAAAACATACTGACAGTTGCTTTGAAGCCCAGTGGATTTGTCCAAACCCTGATACTGACAGTCTCCATGAAGCTTCTCACACAAAAAGCCCCTAATGAATTTATTAAACAGTAGCGTTTCAGAGTCGGATAGTTCAGACAGAGTTTCCTAGATAGACATGACAACACAACAGCTGACATTCACTCAGAATAACTCATTAAAAGCTAATCAGTGTCTGGTGCATGAGAAGCTTTACTCTATCCAGAAACTTTGAAGAACTTCTTAACAGCATCTAAAAATAGAACTCACAAATAATTCATCAGATAGATTCCCAATCCTCCTGAGTGACTGGATAAAGTCTGACAGAAGTCAAATGGAGATGACCCCTGAGGGTACTTACAAACTACTATAGTGATTCATGAGGGTCTTATACTATCAGGGCTGGAAAATAAATCTCAATATGAGAATGAGAATGAATGAGAAGAGTAGAGTATTAAGTGCCATTAAGCACAATGCCTTCTTTTTATTAATTCAACAAACCCTCAGGAGCGCCACACTCCCAAAACTTAGTTAAACACAAGTCATAAATAAGTGCTACTTTGAGGCCTGTTTATCAAAACTATTATGCATGTTGCACATACTCATGTTTCTATATTGGTTTCCTAACATTTAGTTTATGGAACCAACCTGTGAATTGAAATAATTGAATTAGAACTAGAAAATTCTAAAAATGAATATGACCATTTCAAATAATACAAGATATTTGGTAGTCAAAATTACATATGAATTCACTTTTTTCTGTAACATACACTAGTTCAAAAGTTTGGGGTCAATAAGATTTTTTTTTTTTTTTTTTTAAAGTCTCTTATGCTTACCAAGACTGCGTTTATTTGATCAAAAATACAGCATTATTGTGAAATATTATTACGATTCAAAATAACGGTTTTCTATTTGAATATATTTTGAAATGTACTTTATTTCTGTGATGGCAAAGCTGAATTTTCAGCAACCATCATTCAAATCATTCTTAATCTGATTTAGTGCTCAACAAACATTTCTTACTATTATCAATGCTGAAAACAACTGGGCTGCATTTTGTGCTGCTTAATATTAATAAGATTTTTTTTCCGAATTCTTTGATGAATAGAAAGTTCAAAAGAACAGCATTTATTTGGAATAGAAATCATATAAATGTTAAAGTATTTATTGTAACTTTTGACCAATTTGAAGCATACTTGCTAAATTATACATATTAATTTAGTTAAATTATTATTTTTTTAAATTAAATAGTACTAACCCAAACCATAAAAAATAGTATATAGTGTATATTTACAAATATTGAGTAAAACAGGGAATTTTCATTAAAAAAAAACTAAAATGGCCTTTTGTTAAAACTAATGCTAAAACTTACGGATAAGCATGATAACAGTTGTGTCAGTTTATGCCTTCCCATAGGTTTCCCTGAAAAAGCACCATTGATGCTAGATCAAAAACGTTAACAACTCATTAAGGCTGTTTTTGGTTTTTCAAAGTGAGAATTGGGGACAGGTGCTTCTCAAAAAGCAGAAAATGAAGAAAAAAAGCACATCACAACATAACTACCATCTAGATTAATCACCAACACTGCATTCTAATGGACGTGTAGCTCAAACTGTGCATGAGCCAAAAAAATAAAAAATAACAATAAAAAAAATAGCAGCTTGTTGGTCCTTTCATGGTTCCTCTATAGCCTCTCCTCATCTAGCTCAATGGGCTCTTGGCTTCAGCCACAAAGTCTTGGTTGTCTGCTTTACTGCTTTCCATTTGGATTGAAAAATCTAAGCTAGTCTAGCAGAACTTGGAAACATTCAACAAGGACATGTAGTCAAGCAATTAAGATAATTCAGATTATCCAGGCTGCTCCGATTTAAACAAGAGGCACACAACCTCACAAAACACAGGAAATTATCTTCAACGAAGGTCACGACTTGCCTGGAATGGATGCCCTCAATTACTCTCTTCTGTGCCTCTGTCTTCGCCAGTGACCTGCATAACCTTATTTAGAAGAACGCTGTTTCAAGAACAATGTTCAAAGACTGTCAGCAGACCGATGGAAGACAGCAGTCGCAAACCTCTCATTGGTCCATCACCTGTCCACTCGATCAGCGGCATTCCAAAATGTTTAACCAGGAATACCTGCAGGTGTGGTCTTGTCACTCGAAACAGTCAGCCATTCAGGTCTAAGGTTAATCCAGAAACCCACATCTGAACTGACCCTAAATATCTGCGCAACCCCCTAAACCAAATAATCCTTTGATTTAGTTTGAAGAGACGAAGCTTTCAGAGGAAATTCAATGCTAGCTCTTGATAATCCACAAGTGAATACACAATCTTATGTCTATAGCCAACAATGAGAAACAGAGCTACAAAAACGTCATATTGCAATGCTATTTCTGGTTAATTTGATATGGAAGAAAAAAATAAACAGCACAAGCATATGGTTATCTACATCCACGCTAAGATTAGCATTGTTCTGTATTGTTCATACAGCGCCCTGGATCCTGTTCAACAAATCCCCTGCAAAAAAACCCTTCACAATACAAGGTATACACCGGGGAAAACAGAACCAGCAATGAGATTTTTTTAAACCCAGACACAACAGAGCTTTAGGAACAGCCTAAAAAGTGGTGAACAGTCTGCAAAATAGCTTTCCAGGAAACAAAAATGGGTTATAATGGCATAAAATAAGATCAATTTTGGTTCCCAACCTGATGTCAATGGTCAGGTCTGTTGTACATAGAAACAGTACATAGAAAAAAAAATATTTAAGTACATTTGCTTTAGAGCGAACACTGGTATAAGTACACATCAATAAACTTTGAAAAAAAAAAAAAATCCCTCAGTCCCACAGCAAAAAAATAAAAATAAAAAAATACATCAGCTATGATGCATCACGTAAAGCTTTGCTCTGTTGTAGAGGATTCAGAATAAGTGCTACCTGTCATGACCTTTTGCAAAGGAAGTGTAACTGATAAATCTGTCCTCTTTTACTCGTTAAGTTTGGGAGCAGCAAGTTGCAAAACAGTTCAAATGGAGAACAGCATTTATTACTGTCAGTCAGAGGGTGTTTATGTGGCAAAAGAAAAAAAGAGTTTAAAACGATATAAGCTCTGTTCTCAAAGCTAGTGAGCCTCCTCACTAACTACATACAGTAGGCAACTCCCCTCTAAGGCAGAATCCTAGCTGTTCTTGAACATCGTAAATGTATTGTGTACAAAATCGCCCCCTATACCATTATATAGTGCACTATTTGAGGGGAAAGTCATTTATAATGGTGTCTAAAAGCACTTCCGGCATGTCTGAATTTGTTTACTTGTTTCAATTCACTCCTTTAAGTGCACTATATTAGTGGAGTAATGTAGGGAATAGTGGATGAGGGTATAGGATGCACTTTCTAGGTATTAAAAGACGAATAATGTGTTTATTAATGTGTTTTGGTATTGAATGAAATGAAAAAAATTATTGTCCAACTTTAACTTTTTTCATGGAGCTTGTTGCAGTGCGTTATGGGAATACCTTTTCCACAAGGGATACACGCTAAAAAAAGGTTTTGTAAGGTACGTTCATACTGTACTGACAACAATTTGTCATGCCGACAAAACTTGTTTTGGCATGACAAAAACTTTGTTTATTTTCAATGAAAGTTGGTGATTTCAGTTTTTCTGGTTTAGAAACCAACAGCCCAGTGACTCGTTGACCTCCATCAATTGAATCGCTGTCTGTGTGAATGAGGTTTTGGGAGGCAGAATAATGAATTTGTCTACATTTTGGAACATCTTTAGCATCGGGAGTGTACCTTTGATGCCTTACAATGTTGTCTCCAGAGGCAGCTTGCTAGGTTTTGGAACAGAGCAAAAGAGACAGAGGCAAAGATAAACAAAAACTAGATGATCTAGGCCAAACTCTGATGGGCAGTTTACAGACTAAAATAAAGCTAGCATTCAGCCTTAGCCATTCAACAAAAATATGTCTGAATTATACATTCAGAAAAGGTACATGCAGAAATATCTTCAGAAGGCCACAAACTTGTTTTAAAATCAAATAGTCCTCTAACTGCATGTGGAAAACATGATAATAGTTAATTACTTCTTTGCATTGAAAAACAGCCTCATCATCATTATAGGGAATGCAAGGAAAGAACATTTTGGAAAACAAAACAATTAATTAAACCCCTCTGGAATACTACTTGTACTAAATACGCATGTCGCAGTCTAACAGAGTGTGTTAAATAAATAAATGCAGCTGTTTAACACAAATTGGCTGTAAAATGGAGTTTGTGATGTTGGCTGTGGTTGTCAGGCTTTTTGGATAAGCACAAACTAAGATAGTCTAATTAGCTCAGTTTCTTCAGGCATAATGTGGCAAAGTGTTTGCAATCACTGAATTTCATGCTGAAGCTGTACATTACTGCACAAATGTGGGGAAAAATGGGTCCTAGGAGAAAGCCTTGAGGCACCTCATGATAATAACAGCTCAGCTGAGCCCTTTTGTGTTTGCACACTACATCTGTAAAATGAGATGAGAAAGACACAGATAGTCCCTTACTGCTTGAGGTCTTTCCAATAAAATAAATGCCTCGATCAACAATGGAGTGAAATTATCCACAGGAATGCAAAGAAACAAAACCGGTAATGACCCACTGGGCTCAGGGGTCAGACACCAACAAAGCTGCATACCAACGAGTTCCTACTCCTCAGTCTTTCCTGCCTGAATTGAGAGATGACTGACAGAGGAACAAACGCTCCCAAAGGTGGAGGGAGGTAAGAGAAAAAAAAGTGAAGGGAACAAATAGAAACATAAACCAAAAATGATTCTAAAAACTGGTCCTGTCAACTGAATGTGTAAATTTTGTGATAATTTTTTTTTTAAATAAATGATAGTATTCATAAAAATACATTTTAAATATTTATTTAAAATATATAAAATATAATAATAATAATAAACACAAAATTAATTAGCATATTGTGCAATTAATTCATTTAAAACTGTTAATCGGTTACTATCCCGATTTGATTATTAATATGCCACTGCATGATCCTTTCAAACAGTTAATGCCTCTTGACTTGAAGGTGCTAAGCGGACTGTAATGGTTATCTTGTTTCATGCCGCAACAGATTATTTCATGACACAACTGGTGATTTTGAGTGCGAGAGAGACATGAAGCCATAATACAGCAGTTGAACCAGCTGTTTTCCTATTGAGCTTGTATTTTCCCAACTCTTTCCAATGCCAAAGACCCTCTAATATTCAAAGTAATTGTAAGCCTGACAAGGGGTGCAGCTTACACTCATGGCTACAGGCTCTAATTATGTGTCATCTTGCCTCTAGTTTTATAGAGCAAACAGCCCTTTGTGTTGTATGTATGCAGACCCTTCAATCCACAATGTCCCTTTCTGAGGCACTAATACAGGCAATCCACATATGCACACTGCAGGAGTGCCTATCACACATATTTGGCTTTCCAAATAAAACACAAATCATCACTAATCACTAAATAAAGTCTTTAGCCGCAAGCTTTTCCAGCAACAGTGACGATCGTCACGTTCAACCTAATTTATACATGATTATCTATGCTCCACCAGATTTAATCCTACCCTGTTGAAATATGTTATTAGAGTCATTCTACCCCACACTAACTCGCTTAAGTTTTCTTTGATGTACTAAAAACTAATTTAAATGTTTTTTTTGCAGTCAAAGGTAGCACAGCATGTAATAAGCTGCACACACTGACAGTTCACCTACTATGGAAAGTAAAAGCCTAATTAAATGCTACATGTCTACATGTATCCCTCTCTGGTCTAAGGGTTCACAATTAAACATCTAAAGCTATTTCATATGCAATGACACCTAAAATCAGAGGACATTATATCATTCATGAATTCAAATGATTTGTACTGTATTACTCATTTACATTTAAATTTATTCATTAAGCAGACGCTTTTATCCAAAGTGACTTACAACAGATTCTTATTATTCTTCACTTTATATGGCTAAATATGTTAATGAATAATCGTAAACACATAATCAAACCATTAAAAGCCTGAAAATTGGCACATTTCATTTTCTTGTAAAAATCAATGCCTTTTTTAATGTTTTTAGGACTTACCATTGTCCTCCACGGTGAAACTAAAGACATCACTGGTGGCATTGTTCTCGTCCTTCAGGATATAGCAGATCTTAAGATCATCTATGTCAGCTGAGGACACACACAAACACAAAACTGTAACATTAAACTGCACAATGCAATTTATTATTCATTCAGAAGAATCTATATCTCAAAACAAGCTATGATAATCATTTTTTATGATGATCTACAAACCCTAGAGTGAAACGCTCAAAGATCAAATTGTTCTATAATCCGCTCAACTTGCAAATATGTCCATTATTATTCAAAGAGCATGCTTGGTTTTGCAAAAAAACATCTGTGAATAAAAGGCTTTTTATGTTTTAATAAATCCAGGTGAGAATTTTCACAAAAGCAGCAGGGAGTGAGTCACAAAACAATAAGTAAAACAGGTGACAAGCTGTTACATAATGACAGGTGAGAACAAGAATTTTAAACACAGACTCAGTCTCCCCTACATCTGGTCTGTCCCATCTCTCAAATTAGACCCCTTAACCACATCTGCACTGATACACAGTGGTTAGGTTACGGTGTACCATGATCAACCTGGCTCTCTTTTCCCCTTGCTCTGACCAACTTCTTTAAATTATTGATATCAGAGGAAGAAGCCTCATAAAAATGTAAACCTGTGATTCTTTATGCATGGATGAAACCGCTTTTCATATTGAAAATAAAATGTCTTCTTTCTTCACAAGCACACACTCTCATCGTAAAATATTTAGCAAATGCCAAAGAGCAAGCGGTAGCAGAATATGGGGAAAGGGCAAAGTAAATAAAGAGAAGTGATTGTCCCTTCTGCTTCACTGCTCATACTGATGAGGTCAAGTCAGGTTTGCCAGGTCTCTCTCTCTCTCTCACTTCTGCTTCCAATGTCTGAGACACATTTCAGACTAAGTTAGCTTGACACAGATCTCACTATGGCTCTCATGTTTGAAGGAGTGCATTTATGCTTTAGAAGTCATGAACCTATGCTGGTACTATAAGGATGTGCAAAAGGATATCTTTTTAAAATCAAAAAGCCATACTAGTTTATTAAAAAAAAAAAAATGCCTTTTTGCTAATTTGCATAGAGTTTGATAGTTTAGGAGGCTAACCTGTTAGCATTATGATAAGCAAATTATCAGCCTGATTGGTCAGCAAATAAACAGAAAACTAACAGAAAACACAGAGTTTCTTAAAATTATATACTATGAATCTATATTTATATTAATCATTTTGTTTAATTTAATGTGAAATGTGATACATTTAAAAATATTTATTAATTTATGTTTATTGATGGTTGAGAAAAATGTATATAAAAAGTGATATTGAAGGATCAGTATCAGTTGTTTACTGTTTTAACCAACAAGAGAAATGAATACCTGTTTACATACTATTTGCAAAATCTTCAAGATCTTTAATTAAAATTTGTAAAATGCCCTAATGAAATGTATCTATATAAAATTAATTTATTATATAAAAATTAATAATTTTTCTTTAAAAAAAACCCAACTAAACTTCTTACAGATACTGCAAGGAATGAAACAAATGACAAATCAAAGAATCCTAACATTGGGTATCAAAATTAAAATTTCATATTTAAAGTTTGAGTTTGCAATGGATGGTACTACCTGTTTGTCTGAGCAATGGCGCATAAGCCCAAAATTCATGCTGCTCTTACAACCCAGTCAAGATGCTCAAAAAAAAAAAAAAAAAACCAGTATTGCAGGTCTGTTTGTTATGGCTAGCAGCAGAAAAATTACACCCTTACTCTTTTTAAAATGTGGTTTGCCTGTAACCATTAACTCCTTTCTCACTACAGGGAAGTTAGAAGGCAAAAGTATGAAAACTTAATAATTGAAAGGAGATGTGTGAACTCTCTAGTTGTCTCATCAAGAATTTAAGCCGAAGGCTAAAAGACAGACACATCAACCTGTCCTGAACATGATGGGTACATAGCATTTCTTACGGAGACAATTCTTACATGCGTATCTTCAAATTATGGTTCTACAGAGCATTAAACTGCACAGTTCTAGCACAATGAATGGAAACAGCATTTCACAGGAACCAATCATAGGTGGTAAGAAAATTTGGTGCTCATAATACATTACCTTGTGTGAAGATGTTGATTGAGTCATTCCCTCTGTCCAGGCTAATCAGGTACCCATGCTCTGGCTGTGCAGTGATATGAAAAACCAAAGCCTCAGGGCTGCTGTCTCTGTCCACCACCTTCAGGACTTTGCTTGTGATCTGATAACCTAAGTGACCTGCGGACAAGACCTTTAAAGTCGCTGCTCCTTTGTTAACCACAATCTGAGGCACACCGTTGTCCACTGACACAATGGTAATCTTCATGGTCTGAGGTCTTTGGGTCTCAAAAATGGTATCAGGGAAGACAAAAAAATCTGAATGGGTGCCATCAGTGACTGCAAAAGAAAAGCTGTCCTTGTCCGACTCTGTGCCATCATGCTTGTAGCTGATCATATTCTCATTCAGGTTCTGCATTGTGAACGAAGTCACGTGTCGACTGTTGTTGAAGAGAAGCTTGCCATGAATGGGTAGTTGGGTGACTGTAAACTTGAGAAGGTGCTCAGCTGTGTCTTGGTCCTCAACGGACAACTCAAAGGGCGTAATGAGTTTGGTCTGTCCCTCGGTCACTAGAAGGTCATGAATGGTCAGTACCGGCTTTTTATTGTCAACATCAACAATTGAAACACGGAATGTGCGGAACACAGGGTTGTAGCCATCGGTCACCTCAAACTCAAAGCTGTCCATCTTGACTTCATCATCGGCAGTATGAATGTAGTAGATCTTGCTCCCGGCCAGCTGTAATTGGGTAAAGAACACAATAGGTATGCCTGGTGTATCTGTGCTTTCCAAATGCCCTCTCACCGGGGCTCTTGTGATGGTGAAGACTAAGTTCTCATCAGGGCTGTTGAGATCACTAGTGCTGAGGAGGTTCGTTGTGAGTGTCACTTTGCCACCTTCTTTAAGAGACACCCCTTTACTGATGACATCAGGAAACACCATGTCAATGCTGCCCACGGTAATATAGAAGTATCTGTCAATTAGAGGATTGATGCCATCTGTTACATCAAACTTTACAAGGTCTCGAATGCCTTCCTGTCCATTGTGAGTGTACAAAATGAGACCCCTGTTCACCTCGTTTTGTGTAAAGTTCATGCCAACTGTTATGTTCTCTAGATACCTAGCAGATCTTTTCTCCACATAACCTGCTGGTTTTCTATGAAGGAAGCCCTGACCGGGGCCGTAGCGAATAATGAATGTAAGTGATTCATCATCTGAGTCCAGATCAGTAGCTTTTAGTACTTTACTGTTTATCTGCTTTGTCTCACCAATCTCGATTTCAAGCCCATCATTAATGGCAAGCCTTGGTGTTTCATCATCCACAGGGATAATCATGATCATGATGGTGGCCTCAGCTGAATGTTTCCCATCTGTAAGAAGAACGTCAAACTTGTCTTCAGTGGTTTCAGAATCATCATGTTCATAAATTATGCTAGAAGCTTTCTTGATTTGTTCCACGGTGAAATTTGTGATTGGGACAGAGCCACTAGCAAGCTGATTGAGGATGAACCCATGATTTGGGGGTTTGGTGATGATAAACGTCAACTCTTCTGCAGGAACATCAGCGTCGACTCCATTCAAGAGCGGTGAGTCAATGATAACATTCATGCCCTCCATTACAACAAACTCTCGCATAAAGATCTCCGGTTTTTCATCGTTGGTGGGAATAATTATAATTGGAAAGAACTGTCTCTCTGAGAAATTCACACCATCTGAACATCTAAAAGTGAACCTGTCCTCCACTGGCTCAACTCCTTTATGTATGCTTTGGACATAGTGAATATGACCATCATTCACATCTCTAATAGTAAAAGCACTTACTGCCATTCCCGACCTTGACTTTTCAGAGCCTGGTGCTGGAGAGACGTTCTCCACATATCCTGATGTGGGCTGAACAATGATGGTGCACAGAATGTCCTCAATTGGCGTGTCTGCATCCACAACCCTTATCTGATGCCTACCGATTGAGTTTTTATTCCCTTCAAAGATGGTAAAGGTAGGGCCAACTGTGACCACTGGAGTCTGGTTATCTACAGGCAGAACGGTGACATGAACACGGACTCCGTTTACTCGGTTACCCCCTACATTCCACTCATCAGACATGTCAGAGAGGGTCAGGCTGAAAAAGTCTTCTATCGAAGTGAGACCAATCTCACCGCTGGTGTGAGCATACACAACTAGGCCATTGATGATATCAGCTTGGGAGAATCTGCTTGAGGAAAGTCCACTCACCAGAATTTCTCCAAACTTAGGGGCTTCTTCTACAATGAATGTCAACCTCAGGTCATCAGTGTCCTCATCTTTTCCCTGGATAACACTGGCGGTCATTTCTGTGGCACCATTTTCCAGGACGTCCACGCGAGAGCCAAAGGTGCCCTTTGTGAGCCTGAGCATTGGTGTCTTATCATCAATAAGCTTTACCGCTACCTTCACAGTGATTGTTACAACATGAACACCATCACTAACATCCAATTTAAAATAGTCACTTGACATTTCATCCCCATTGTGGATATATGAAACTTTTCCATCAGAGATATCCTTCAAGTTGAAACTACTTCCTTTTTTTAAGTCAGTAAACGTATGCTGAACATGGCCGTGCTGTGGAGTTTGACTTAGCGTGAATGAAATTCGCTTACTGTCAGTGTCAAGGTCATTTGCGTCAAGTTCGGCACTCGTGATGACATGCAACCCTCTTTCAAGGACTGTGAATCCAGTGTTCGTTATCTGTGGGGGTTTGTTGTTCACAGGTTCCAGAAAAATTGTAAAAACTCCATTAGCACTGTTTCCAGCAGTGTCCTCTACTGTGAAATGGAACTGCACCACATGTGGTGTGATGCCAAGCTCAAGGTCTGGTGGGCTGTAGGAAATCTTATGATGGTTAATTTGTGCTTGGGTAAATTCGGTTACGTCAGTATCTGGGCTGTCAGTCAAAACAATAGACCCAAATTGAATGGGATTATTCTCATCAGTGTCAGTTGGCGGTTGAGTTATTGTATATTTCAGGTCACGGTCCTCTGAGTCCAAGTCAGTATAACGAAGAACATTCTTATTAAAATCAGTCAGCTGGTACTCATGTACTGTCATCTGCAAAGTAGTGCCTGGGAACAGCACGGGTGGAATATCATCGATAGGTAAAATTTTAATAATAAATGAATTCTCGCCAGATTGGTTGGGAGGCTCGGCATCATCTTGTACTTTAAAAATGAACTGATCAGTAACCGTCTCTGTGATGTGTGGACCTGTATGCCTATAGAACAGCTTTTCATCTGTGATATCTTTCTGGAGCCACTGTGTCACTACTTTCTCATACACACCATCTTCTGCATTAAATTTCCAGGACGACGGGTCCTCGGGTGCTTCAGATTGCCTCACCACAACCTCGCCAATAGCAGAAAATGGAGGCTCGATTGTAAATTGAATGGTGGAATCTTCAGAGTCGATGTCTGCTGCACTTAACATGAGCTGTGAGATGGGCACCAGCTGATTTTTGAATAAAATCAGACCAGTGTTTGCATTTATGATGGGCGGCTCATCATCTGTGGGTACAATTGTGATGGGGAACAAAAACTCAACTTCATTCTTGCCATCTGACATTCTGAATATTATATTATCACTGTACGTGTCACTGCCATCATGCTGGTATACCACAATGCCGACCTCCAGATCAGCCGGTGTAAAATACTTCCTGTTGGTGCCCAGAACAGTTAAGTGACCGTGACGCAGTCCATCAACCACCGTTATCCTCACACTGTCCAGGTTGTCTTCATCACTTATTTCTAAATTGTTCTGAGTAAACAAAGACCTAGACTGGCCTTCATATAATAGCTGGCCGGTATTCTTAGTGACTACTGGCGCAAATGTATTCATGGGCTTCACAACAATCATGAAAGCAAAAGGATCCGAAATGCCACCATCTGTGTCTATGACCTCAAACTCTATTTGAAAGATCCTCTCTGTATCGGAGTCCAAAGAGGGAGGTTTGTATGCTATTTTCAGATCTTTAAGATCCCTTTGATAAAAAGATGTGATAGGTAAATTCCTATCATCTGTACTCACAATATAGCCCTCCTCAAAGGATAGAGGAGAAGTGATGTTGAAAATGAGATCATCAGGATCAGATTCGGTGTCCTCTGCAGCCAACATATCAGGAGTTAAAGCTGTCATAACAAACTGATCAACTTCCATCATCATCATAGCCACAAAACTCGGTCTGGGGGGAGTGTTTTCTTCACCCTCTTTTATCCGAATCATCACATGGAAAAACTCTTGTTTCAGTAAATTATTTTCTTTGCTCCGTAGCTCCACAACTATTGGGATGTAATCCTTATTAGGGGACTTGTGGGTAGACGTGTGCTCATAGCGGATATCTGATTTGAGAAACAGGTCACAGTCCATCATTTTTTCCAGTTTGCTCTCATCAACAACTTTACCATATTTAGGAAGAGCACTGCTGGCAGCCAGTGATGTTACCTCACATTGTTCTGAATCTTTATCATAGGTGAAGTCTAAAACCTTTCTGCCGATAGGATTACTAGTACCACGCAGTTTATCAACAATAAGGGGCATGTTCTTAGTGACAATCTCCAATTGTGTGAAAACAACCTCCACCTCTAGCATAAAGGGAATGATAATAGTTTCAGTCTGAGTGTCATAACTGAGTTGCAGCTTCACCCTGTCACCCGCAGGGCTCCTAGAACCGAAATGAGAGTATCTTACATCGTTAGGACCAAATTCACACGGGAACTTTTTAGGAGACACATGTCCCGGTTTCTGAGGCAGCGGGTCATTATCCAGAACGGTAATACTGCACCTGTCTCCCGGCTGAACTTCAATTACCAAATCGTTGATCGGATCGATGTAAACAGATCTCCCGAAAGGCACGTGTATACCGTTGTTTGCCACCAGTATCGCGTCCTCGGAGAGTTCTGGCGTGTACGCGTACGACAATCCGTGTGTTTCTACTCCTCGCGCTGAACTACCTGTCAATGAAAGCAAGAGAATGAGAAATCCGTGAAGTTCCATGCTGAACGCGCAATGCACACAGCCACAGGAGGTTCTTGGGTAATTGAAATATCCAAATGGAGCTCAATGGGGTTTTCCGCTCTTTATGCTTTACATCCACGAGGGGAGAGGAGACAAATACAGAAAGTTCAGAAATCCCACACGCGCACCAGGATGCTCGTGCGGCATTCCCACAGACTCAGCGCAAGCTCAGTTTTAATTTGTGCGTGGATGGCAGCAGGAGGACACGCCCACAGCCTCATTCTATTGGACGGAGAGTTGCATTCCCATGTTCGCAGGTGATTTTCTCAAAGGATTTGACTCTCTTCTTTAGTTGTTTTGTTAATCTGGCACATTTGGATACAATTGTAACTCTAAATTTCTTCAATTAAAAATTCATAGAATGATGTATTCCGTATGTTCTCAGTAAAGCTATCTCATGAAACAAAAACTACTGAATTTAAGTTGTAAAAGTCTTTTCCCCCTTGTATGTCCAGCATTTTTCTGATGTCTAAAGTTACAATGCATTTGAATTTAAACATGTGCCTATTTTATCTCTAGGTTGTTGATTTAGCTCTTAAAGAGCAGGAACATAAAACAACATTAACTTATTGCTTTTCCATCTTAAATTTAGTATGTAGCTCAAACAGTAACGCTAAAGTTATGGGTTCGATTCCCAGGGAATGCAAGAAGTGATCATTTATGACCATTAGGTAAAAAGTATGCCAAATGTATAAAAGTGAATAACATTTAACTTAAAGCCAGATGAAGATGATGAGTTGATGCAAGAGTTATTATACTAGGTCTCTTGACCTGCCCCAGGGACCCTTTTTAATATTTAACTTAGAAATTTGGCCCACTCACTCACGGTTCCTCCCTCCAGCCTCTCAAATATCTGTAACCCCCAGGATACCGAAACTATTTAAGAGTTAATATGAACATCACATACTCACACTGTCACTGGGAGCCATAAAAGACTTGATCTTATCTTAGCTATGAGGTCGGGGCAATGCTATGAAATAAAAATTGTATGACTGAATTGAAGTATTGAATATTTAAAATATGTAATGAACATTATCTCATTAAAGTGTCAGGAGATTAAAGACTGTTCTTGACTTCAGCTGATGAATATATTTTAGTAAAATGGATGTAACCAATTTTAAAATTTTCCTGACAGCTAAAAGAATTAGTATCATATGAGGATTTAAACTATACTGCAATATTTATAAATATTAATGATTTAATATGTAATATTCAATAAAAATGATATGTGCTCTTATGTGGGATACAGTAGGTTAATATTGTCCCATTTAGGAGGGCAGGGCAATAACTTCATGACTATTTGACTATTTAATGACTATTAAATGTATTAATTTAAATTAATTTAAAATTATGATCAGGTCTTTTTACTGTAAATATTTAAATGGTATTATTACTGTCAGGATTTTTTTCCTAATACTAAAAGATAGATTGTACATCTGTATTGTGTGTGATCTCTGAGAAAAGAAGGAAAATGTTTACAAATAAATACATAAATAAATAAAAAACAAACATATGTTTTGCCTCTTCTCTACAGTTAGAGATTTTTTTGGGCGTGACACTTTGGACAATGGTTACTTCTTGGTTAAAAAAATGCATAAGGGAGAAGACAGGAGAGAGTCTTCTGAAGTTTGTTTGGGACACATATGTTTTATTATTACAGTATGAAAGACTACAGTCAGTGTTTTCACGTGTGCTCTCTGAGAGGCAAAGAGCTCTCTGTTTCCCACAAACCTTCAAACCTGTAATCAATCATCTGTTCAGACACCATAAAAACTTCTGATGGCTCGAATGAGATAGAGTCTTGGTATTTTCTCTCCCCATCTCAGTTTTTCAATGTAATTTTTTGTCTGAATGTAACCCTGGGAAAATACGTCCACTTTATTGGTGGCGGTAGACAGAATCAATCAGACCTCTAATCTCTGTGATCATAACAAACATTGTCCAAAGGGACCAAAAGTACCTTGAAAAGTCTGCAGTGCGGCAAAAGTGGGGCAAAATTGCACTGAAAAACAAAGAAAAGAAACAAAAATGTGCCAGTGTTTAAACTGATGTTTGAATTATAAGCATATTTAGGTAATACAAATGATGCAATCATGGCTTGAGCGATCCAATGATATAATGTACACAACAATAAGTGACAAAAACATTTATTTATTTGATATCCTAAAATGTTTTAACATAGTGCATTTAATTTTTATACAGACATGACATCATTGGAATACATGTGGAACAAAAGGCAGCCCACTCATATTAAAGTTCACAGCTGCTGAACGCCCATTCCCAGGTTCCTTCTGTTCTCCTGTGGTGACAGTCTGTCATCTTTCATGTCTGCAGACCGAGAAGTGTTCAGAATTACAATGGCAAATAGTACATATATAGCGGGAGAAAATACTACCCAATTTTAAAAATACCCACCTGTCAGACAGTCTCACCGAATGAGTCATCAATCAAAACCATTTTAAAACTGGACATTAGAGCTGCACTTTGTCAGCAATTTCTCTCAAAGTAAATTTGTCACATTAACCATGTGATATTCTTGTGCAGATGATCAAATTCTCTTTAACCATGCTGGATAGCATGCTCATCGGGTTCTTCACAAACTTTATCTCTTGCATATTGTAGTAGCACACAGGTAAGAATATTAAAAACACAGGTTACCCATAATGCTCCTGGTAACTGAAAGAAAAGATATGTGGAACACTGTCTTGGTACTAGACATACAATACCAAAATATTTTCTAGGTTTTGTCCCCCCCAATGGATCTGGAAGAAGCTACATCACAGTTAAAAATACCTCTAAAGTTTAAGGTGCATCTGTAGTTTCCACCTTACAAACTAATAAAACATCATCTAAGGGATTTGTGAGAAAGTATTAGAACTTTACAATGTATTTTCTGAAAGGTCGCTGGTTCCTCTTGAGTACTGTTGCCATTTCTGTCACAGGTGCTTGAAGGGAAGGGAAATATTCTCAAGTAAGTATTCGGTATTGTCTAAAAGTTTGTTTAATATTGTGTTTTCCAGCTACTCTCACTCTAAAGACTTGAGAATGCTGGGGAGGTGTTACTCACCTTTAGAGCTTTAACTTCAAATAAATTAGAACGTTTTTTGGAGCTAAATAACAACTGCTCTGCTGACGCCGCTGGGCTTGAGTCAGACGAGACATGCATTTGCTCTGAGTTGAAACAGCTGCCATTTTCAGCTGTCAGCATCCAACAATACATATGCATAGCCATATAAATGTACATTTTTGCCACATATGGAAAAGCATGTCTTGGTAAATCATAATTATGATATAAAAGTCTTACTTTTAACATAAAATTGAAATTGTGAGATTGTGAGAGTAAAAAGGTGAATTTTATAAGTTAAAAATCAATAATTATGAGATGCAAAGTCATAATTATGAAACAGGTTGAAATTACAAGATAAAAAGTCACACTTCTGAGATGCTACCATATTTTATGGTAGACCATTTCCGCCACGTGAGAAAAAGAAAAAAAAACATGCTTTTGTAAATCATAATTTTGACATAAAATACATAATTATGACATAAAAGTCTAAATTATGAGAAAAAAGTAATAATTATGACATAAGTTGAAATTGCAAGATGAAAAGGTCATACTTATGAGATGCTAGGTCATAATTAGCATATTTAACATCATACATACTTTTTATGGAAGACCATTTCAGCCACAGGAAAAAAAAATCATGCTTTTGCAACATACTTTTAAGTCAAAATTATGACATAAAAAGTCAAAATGATGAGACACAAAGTCATAATCATAAAAACGTCATGGGACAAAAAGTCAAAATTGTGGGATAAAAAGATATATATAGGCCTTTATATGATTGTCTGCTTCTTGCTTCTCATCTTTAATGAAATGTCAAAAGGGTCGCTTAATTTTAAGCATAATTTCACAAAATGTTATTATTGAAGTCCTTTGTGTAGGCTACATTTTCTTTAAATCATTTGTTTGCTGAATAAATAAGAACAATTTAATGGAAGCTAATAGAACACAATATGGAGAAATACTGCGAAACTCTAGAAGTTACTGCAGAAGGTTTACATTTTTGGGAGGAAATCTATGCAGATATTCCATACACATCATTGACATTTTAGGCTAATTCTCTATTAGTGCTGCTGGTGGGAGTGAAGGGAGGGGTAATTAATAAATTGTTACCCTTTTTTGTAAATGTCACACTCCGTGGTAAATATTTACATATCTTTTTCAGACATGCCAGAACAACCCTCATTAGTGTCTCATTTGCACTTTACTCTCTATATTGCACTCTGTAACTACGTGCACGAGTGCTTGTTAACTGACTGACAGCATTATTTCAACGACCACTGTCAAAGTTCAAGGACAAACTACCATCTCAAACCCTTTCTGGTCACTGTTAAATGGTAAGTTTCATATTTAATAATATACAGTCAAAAAGCACATATGAGTCAGTGAGGTGTAATATAGTCTATGTTGGCAGCCAGCGGTGTCACCTGCTGCTATCGCCAAGGCTAATTTTTAAAAGTATCCTGCAGGAGAGAGAAAGCCCTCATACTACTGCCTGTTTGAGAGATTAATTGAGTGTTACATACAGGGTTCTGATTGTAGGGGTTGAGAAGCATAGCTCCATGCCAGTTATAATTAGGCATCATTACAGCTTTTATGGCAAATGTCCAAAATCCTAGCGCAATAAGGTTGATAATCCAGAAGAGGGCACTGCTGTATCATTCCAAATCACATTTACTGTACAGACTTCACTGATGATCTAGACTTCTAGAGAATAGTAATGTCTCAGCTGATTACACTATTGATCAGACTTTTGAGGGATATTACTGCGCTGGGTTGGAATTCAAAGAGTAAGCTTGAACATGAGCGGAGAGGAATCAAGGAAGGTGAAGGATTTAAACAATTGTTTGTCTTTCGCATGTGTTCAGACCCTGTTGGTGAAAGGTCGCTTGGATTTCCATTAGAAGCAGGTAATCTAAAATGAGATCTAATGCAGGCCCTGTGGAGGGTGGACAGATAGGCTCACGGGTATCAGGAGAGGCCACAGGCGAAGATCTGCTCAAGAAGAAAGGACTGTGCCACATCAGAGGGCTAATAGTTTCTAATATCATTATCTGAGAGAATTAAAT